TCTGTCCTGCCTTACCAAGAACGTGTTCACAACCAACCATCCAGCAGACGAGAGCAGGGCCGTCTTGCTCCCATACCCCAGTGGAAACAGGTAAAGAAACTGATTATTAATACAATGCATTGCCTGCACCCAACACCAGCCATCACTGTCATGTTTTTAAGCCAGGCTTTTCTAGTGCCTTATGTGAGTCCATTATTTTAATTAATTTAACTTTTAATTGATAAAATCAACAGCTGCTTTTGGTTTAATGGTTTAATGTTTCAACAGGACTTAGTAATATTTTTCTTGCCATCTTATGCTATTTTCAACTTCTCAGGGTTTCAGTGGATGTTTTAGCAGGAACCTTGCCTACAGATACAACCTAGTGTAGACATTGTATCGTCTGGAGTATTTCTATTTTTTTCAAAACCAGCAAAGTTAAAGGTGTCTCACCATCCATGATATTAAAGCTCTTCCTTGGTATAAACAATACAACTGGTTATCAGTTTTGCTATTCACATGTGAAATCTTATGTGTTCTGCAGTTGTGGGAGACTTGAATGTGGTTTCCTTTTCCTTATGGCAAGCATAGCTGACCATGCTAACTTCTCACATTCATTGCATTGCAGATTCCTGTATTTTTTCTGCGAATTAAATACATTTTAGGTTTTCTGCCCTGGACGGGGTCAGAATAGGGTTCAACAGCAGAAAAATCAGCAGGTATCAAATTTTATTTTCTCTTGTGTCTTTTGGCCCCGTGTCATTGCCGGTGTTTTTCTTTCAGCAGTGAACTTTCAAAAGCAAGACTTCTGACAGACAATCTTTTCAGGCAGATAGAGATACTTATCTCACTGGCTTCCTCTGCTTCCACTGTTTCCCTGTGCAGATAGCCTCCTCATGTTTCTGAAAGTGCTGAGATGTATTTTTCTGGCAGATTTCAATTTGGAGAATCACCTGCTTCTTTCTGGTTGCAGTTTAATCAGAGCATGTTTTGGAGTCAAGAGGAGGAAGACAATACTAGTTTGGAAATTCCCTGTTCTGCATGTTTATCATTTCATGGTGAACTTCTTGTTCAAGGCATCCAACACAATTAGTGCTGCATGTCACAACCAGTGCCATGATCTAAAAGATTTCTCTTCAAGAAAGAAGACCTAAATCAGGGGGAATTATCAGTAGGACTGTCAAAAGAGTGTCTTAAAAATTGGTCAACATTATGTTTAGGTTTCCTGACTGTTTTTTTTTCTTCTACATTCTTTCTTGTCTTTGTAGGCTACTGAGCACTTTCAGGTGAACACATCATCCATAATTAAGGCAAATTTCATTTTTTACGAATACTTGGGGGGAAATCCAAAGAACTGATGTAGAAGAGCATAATAAGGCTGTAAATTATTAAGTCAGTTGAAGAGCACTGCTTATGTTAAACCCCTTCCCCCCGCCGCCAGTTCAGAGGGTTGAAGATATGTGTTTTAGCACTTGGAGCAGGTCACATCCCTGGAGCCTTCAGATTTGCATTTGAACTTGCTATTGAAACTTCATGAAGGCTTTATAATTAAGCCTTTACAGTGGAACACAAAAGTTTTTATTGTCATCCTTCTGTAGTTATTCAAAAAAAGGACAAAGTTCTGTTTCCTGCTTTTATGATGAGGACTTTGTTCCACCAGGGAGAAGTTTGTTGTTGGTTTTGTTCTTGTTTTGGCTTGCACTAGTGATTTAAAAAAAAAAAAAAAGGTGAGAAAAAAATCCACTTTTGGTCTCATTCCACATTGATAGCATCTCCGTGTAGGCAGCAGTGTAGGGCAGATCTTTGAAAAATCTTCCTATAACAATTGTACTTCCAGAGGACTTATATTGTTTTATTCAACATGGACACTGATTGCCTTGTGAGGATGATTTCCCCTCAAGATTACATTTGGAGGTGATCTTTCCTTGATAGACTTCACTGCACCAACAGAAGATGTTTGGTTCTTGGGTGCAGGTTTCATGCTGGATTTTGTTGTGCTTTTCATCTGACAGTTAATGGAGTAGAATAAAACTGGGTGTCAAGGATACAAAATCTGCAGGGTACAGTAGGATCAAGGAAATAATTGATATGGTCCCTGTTCCAAAGACTCCTTATTCCTTGCCTAGGGAAATGAAGAACTTCAGTTGTCATCATTCAATGCTATGGGAGTAGGTAGAATCATTTATTCTTGACTGATTAGAGATCAGGCGAGGCAGGAGGCCATCCACTGAGCCAAGCAATCAGCTTTGCCAAGCTTGGACAGAAATCCATTCTGCAGGAAGTTGTTGCTAAAGCAGTGCTTCAGCTGGCTGCTGAGATTCCTAATTCTGGTTGCTTGCTCATGCAGAAGCTGATGGCTGTGAGACCATGTGCTGGAAACTGTGCTGAAACAGCTTTCTACTGTGACACTGGGCACCTTAGCTGCAAAGCTGTTTCTTGGGCCACAGGATGCCAACAGTAGAGTTGGTGCAGAGTGCCAGTACATGTTACTGGAGATACTGTAAAGGATTAGTTTACAAAGCTATGGGAAAGGTCTTGTCTTGTTTGGCACAGGTGTCAGAGTTCATGAGCAGAAACTTCTGTCAGTGAGTGCGTAGAAGATAGGTTAAATAGCAAATACCATCTACAGAAGAGCCCTTTTAAGAGGAACGAAGCAGTTCCTAAGGGGACAAAGTGGTTACATGTTATTCAGGGAAACCACAGGTTGTCTAATGTTCTTGCTGTTAGGTAGAATGAGGTCAAGATGTATTGTGTTTGATTGGTTTGGTCCTACGTCTTGGAAAGTCTATGCTGCAAAAGCTTGGAAGTAATTTCAGAGGAGAAACTACAGATTCAAAGGGTGTCATCTGGGTTGGACCCCAGTTTTGATGGAAAATTTACATCTGCTTTGGGCTGTTACCTGCCAGTGTCTTGTCTCATGGACTTCCTTAGCTGTACTTACTTACCAGACTAGAATCTTACTTTGCCCTGGAGTTAAGATTTATGAGGCCAGCAGTTTCAATGAGTTTGTAAGGACAGACTTTCTCTGTTCTATAGGTGGGGGTAGGGGTGACTTGCTAAGACAGGATCCCTACAAAGGGTGAAATCCTGGCAGAACGTTTTCTGAAGCCGTTTTTACTTCAGTCACAAAGTTCTTTAATGCTGTCTCCCTTGGAAAGGGAAAGTCTTCAAAAGATCAAGCAGGTTTAAGAACCTCACTGATCTGCTGTTCGTTTGGCCTGTTTTCCCCATGAATTGAATTACAAGGGCTCCTTTGTTCTACACTTTGAATGTTGATTGGTGTTGTCAAAATCGCAATGGATGTGTACCTCGGCAGCAGCTAGTAATGCATAAAGATCTTGTTAAGTGTACATGCACAGTGGAAATGTGTGCAGTTTTTAATGTGATGGCAATATCTCTTTAAAAAAAAAAAAAAGTGCTTCATGGTGTGGTGGTTATCACCTTAAATGAACACCTGCTTGTAGAAATATCTTCCATTGCTTTCCAAGCCATTTTGGCTGCTTTTGGGAAAGAGCATCTCATCAGGGATCATGAAGCCATTGAAAAGCCATGTAGCCTGTCCAGAAGAGGAACTGACTGGGTATGGTGTGGGAGACAAGCATTTTAAACTGAGTTTTTTCCTGGCTTTCCAGACTCTCAGCTTATGGCCTTCAGCAGTTTTCTGCTGTAGTTTCATAAGTCTCCAAACAGCAACAAGGTATGTGTCTGATAAACAAGATAAAATCACTGATGTGTGCAAAGGTGTTTGTAAGGTGGAGATCACGTTTCTTCTGGTGCAAATCTTTTCTGCCTCTGGATGTCTGATACTTGTTCTTTTGAGATGGTCCTCTGACATAAAATAAAGGTGCAGCCGTACAAACTTCTCAGTAATTCAGTTGGAAGCGTGGTTTCTGAAATTACAGAATGACTGAGATTACCAC